TCTTCATCAGCGCGGTCTTAATAGACCCGAACATCTCTGGTATCTCTACCCTGATGACCGCAACCACCTTCTCGTGAATGATCTGACGGATCTCCTCATCACTAGCCACGATGCCCTCCGGCATATGATGTGTCCTTACCATGATCAACCTCTGAAATACAACATATGATAAATTAGAATCCGTTCAAGCATACTCACACTCGAAAACTCATCCCTCCTTGACCCTTGGCATTCCGAAGATTCTTACTCGGACCGTACACCGCCCCAGTGCTTTCAGTATTACGGGCCCAATACTACTGTCCACACCGTTTTAGTATACACCCCAAGTCCTCCTCTTGGAATCCCAATTTCTAAGTACTCTATCACTTTCTAACAGATCTCTCATAAGCTCCTTGCTGCTACCTATTCACTCTCAAGCATCTCATAGCAGCTCACCTCTCCCTAGGCTAAGGCATCACAAATCAGGGCACTCTAGTCCTAATAGGAATACCTAGCCTACTTTAGCAAGAGAATACATCATAACAATCTCATAAACATATAATATAAGGGTATTTTGGGAAATCACCGTTCGGGCGCTGACTGATCGTACACACGTTTCTCCTATGAATTTCTCTAGAAATCTTTTACTTTTAGAAAATTTGGTTTTCTTTTTGAAAATATTTTCCAAATCCTCAGTTTGAGTTCAAATACTCCCGAAGGTGTACCCGAATCCCTCAAACCAAGGCTCTAATACCAACTTGTAACACCGTAAATTTCAAAACAAAATTTTTCAAATTTATAAAAGATAATTCACTTAATATTCATAAAACAACCATATTGAAATTCAATTCAAGTAATACAAAAATTTATAAAACATACTGATCAAGCCGGCGCCTTCCTACGGTCGTCACTAGTACCTGAAACAATTAACACCAAACACTGTAAGCACAAAGCTTAGTGAGTTCCCCAAAATACCACATATAACACATATTAGCCACTCGAGGCTATAACTCTATGGGTCCGTGCACCCAAACTCTGTGAACCCTCAGGTTCTAACTCTGTAAACATGCACAACATAAATCATATAGAATAATGCAGCGCAATACATAACACATATATAGCATACAAAAACTGTATCACATATCTCTAGTTACCTACTCAAGGTAAAGTATAGTAAGAAGACTCACCTCGCGTATCTCGGTAACTCGCAAATCCCTGAAATCAATCGTGCTCGATCTCCTGATCTATAGTCCTCGTATAACACAATACATCTCTAAATAACACTTCACAACTAAGGTTGAGTATCCATTAACAAGTCAACATAGGTCAACACTGGACAATGGTCAACGGTCAACTTTGACCGGACTCGACGAGTGCACTATAGCGACTCGGCGAGTCTATGCGCATACACTGATTTCCCTGGGATCCTCACTTGACACGATGAGTATTCTCCTAGCTCGACGAGTTCCACCTGGCATGAGTTGTGGGGCCTCTACGACTCAACTCGCCGAGTCTCAAGAACAACTCGGCGAGTCCCAGCTTGACTCAGTCCACCTGTCAACCCACTCTGACTCTCCCTGACTCACTGAGTCAATCCCTTAACTCGGCAAGACCACTCGCTGAGTGGTGCTGGGCAATCTTCATGCTACTCGCTGAGTTTGTTCTTCGGACTCGGCGAGTCCATGCCATGCAACAACTCAAACTCACTTCTGAGGTCAGATCTGTTCCATACATTCATAGATCTGGCCTCCCCAATCATGATAATCACGTAAAGTCCAAACCTTGGGGCTCAAACAACAACTATTGGCTCATAAATGATGTTTTAGCCCCATATCTCATAAATCTAGGCCAATGATCTCATGAACACTCATAAAGCTTAAGGAATACAGCTCTTCTGGACCTCTATGGATCTCATCTCAAGCCTTATCATGATTAGGGACGAAATGGACATCAAATATAGCCAACAAAGGGGTCAAGAAACCCTAAACCCCCATGTTCATCATAAAAACGAAAAAGGAAGCCAAGATATACCTCCAAGATGATGCTCTGAGCTCCAAAATCGCAGAATGCCCACTTCCCTTGCCTCTTCTTAGCTAGAATCTCCTTTGCCTTGCCAAACCAAGCTCCAAAGGTCAATAATGGCCTCTTTTCTCTCCCAAAACGCTCAAATCTCTTTAGGGTTTCTCTGTAGGGGTTGGTGGCCGCAAATGATGGCCATAAGCCCCTTTAAATAGGTCTCAAACCCAGGGAATTAGGGTTTCATTACACAGCGTGGACTCGCCGAGTCCACTCTTGGTTTCGCCGAGTCCAGACGCGAACTCGCATCAAGAATCGCGATCCTACTCGGCGAGTTTGAGCTCCAACTCGCCGAGTCCACTCACAATTTTCCAAAAATACACCAATAATAAATACTTGGAAATTCCGGGTTGTTAGAATCCACCACTAACCACCACCGACCACCAACACCCATTACTACCACACACCACCACCAGCCACCCCGTCACCCCACCTACCACCCACCAAAACCATCACCATCACTACACCCCACCCACTACCCATCATTGTGACCACCACATGTTATTACCACTAACCACCACCCACTACCCACCATTATGACCACCACCTGTCATTGCCACCAACCACTACCCACCACCCATCACCACCACCCATCTTCACCACCCCACCACCACCACCCGCTATTACCACTAACCACCACCCACCTCCACCACCAACCATCACCACTGACCTCCACCCATCACCACCACCTAACTTCACCACCCATCACAACCACCAGCCACTACCACCCTACCTACCACCCACCAAAACCACCATACACCATCCCCACCCTCACCACCACCTATCACATTCACCCGTCTCCACCACCAATCACCACTGCCACCCACCCACCCACTATAATCACCATCCCACATGTCACCCTTCACCACAATCACCCACCAAGCATCACTACACACTAGGGGTGGAAATCGATGACACGACACGACAAAAATACACGACGCGCAAGGAAATTGAGACAAAATTGAAATTCCAATTCGTGTCAAGTGTGAAGTGTAAAAAACATGACGTTATGTCGTGTCGTCTATGATCGCATGTGATTATTTGAAAGTACACACCACCACCACCCGTGATTATATGTATATAATCACATGTGATTATTTGTATTTAATCACATATGATTTATTTGGACAATATTCTTTTTTGTCCATATAAATCATGTGATTATATATATATATATATATATATATATATATATATATATATATATATATATATATATATATATAATCATATGTGATTAGATATATTTAATCACATGCAACATTATTGCATTCTCGATTCAATAATTATTTTTTGTCAACTTTAATCATATATGATTAGATACATATAGTCACATGTGGTTATATTATCAATTCACACATGATTTATATGAAAAATACTCATTTTTTATTTTTCGTTTCAATAACTATTCTCATATATTTAATCACATGTGATTATAAGTATCTAATTACATATGATTAATTTTGATGTAAATTTGTTTTTAATGTTCTTGATTTAATAGTTGTTCTCATGTATATAATTGTATGTAATTATATATATTTAATCGCATTTAACTTATTGAATCAAGAAAGTGAAAACAAATCTTTTTCACACACACACACACACACATATATATATATATATATAGGGTAAAGTGAATATACCTAACAACCTTATATAAGCTTATGTACCTAACCTCATCAAACTACATTATTTTGCATTAAATTTTCATTGCAATCATCCAAGGTTCTTAAACTTCATCCCTAAACTTTATTTACTTCAAAAAATTTTGGAAATTCATCGTTATATTTCTCCTACATCCTTTCATTTGTAGCGCTAGGATATGAAGCCCATCAAGTGGTATTCGATAGAAAGACGTGATGTAAACGAAAGATATTGGTGAAAGTCCAAAGATTTTAGAAGTAATCACGTTATGGGGTTGAAATTTAAGAACCATAGGCAATTACATTGTAAATATGATACAACCCGGTGTAGTATTATGAAGTTAGGTACCTAAGCGTATATAAGGTTGTTAGGTATATTCACTTTACCCATATATATATATATATATATATATATATATATATATATATATATATATATATATACAGAGAGAGAGAGAGAGAGAGAGAGTCAAGATCAAATAAGAAGGAAATTTTTGGTAGGAAGGTAAGAAATTTTTTTATATGCATATTTTCTTAGAAAAAATTCAAATGAATCATTAGATGATTCAAAAGTATGATGATTCACAAGAAAAAAATTCCGAAAAAAACACCTTCATGATTCATTTTTAAGTAAATCAAGAAAAAAAATTCACTTCTATAACAATTATAGTGAATACCAACAAAATCATCATAAAAATGAATCATTGAAATGCTTTTTCGGGATTTTTTTGGTGAATCATGTTATTATTGATTCATTTGGTGATTCGTTTGTTTTTTTTCGCCAAAAAAGTAAGTCGAAAAAAAAAATTCTTACTGGATCTATATATATATATATATATATATATGTATATATATATATATGTATGTATGTATCCCCTATCATAATAAATAAGTAGAATTCTGCCACGTGTCAATCTCCAAGCCCCCAATATCGAGTTTTCCCGCTCATTTTATTCATTTCTATTTACGTAAATGCCATTCACTCCAAATGAAATCAAACAAATGCAATAAATCCGGAAAAACCCGGATACACCTGCATTTAAAATATGCAACCAATAAATTTAAATGTATAAAAGCTATCGAAAGAATTTGAAAAAATATGTTACTCAGATTTCAGATTCGAAATTCCCGATTTAATTTGGAAGTTTTTTAATTTTGATTGCAAAATAAATAATTTGCAGTAATTAAATCCCCAAAAATCTGTAGTAATTTATCAAATACCAAAATATGTACAATACAATTATACCATCTATACGGTTCTTTTGTGTTAACCATCGTAAAGTCCATAGATTAACAAAAAACATGAGACTAACTGTTGGAATGGATCAATCTGATATACGAAAAGTAAGAGATTTTGCAAATTGGCTATTTAAAATAGGAGAAGGCAAACTTGGTGGCCCGAATGATGGTGAAATGATTATCGATATTCCTGATGATATTCTCATTAATGATTCACATGATCCTATAGGTTCCTTAATTGACTTTGTATATCCATTAATTTTGGAGAACTTCAGTAACACAAATTATTTTCAAGAAAGAGCGATACTTGCTCCAAAAAATGAAGTTGTTCAGGAAATCAACGACCGTTTGCTTAACAAGTTTCCAGGAGATGAAGTTGAATATTTAAGTTCAGACAGTATATGCGAATCTGAATTTGTCCATGATCAGTATGATTCAAATTTATACTCTCCTGATGTATTAAACAGTCTCAAAGTATCTGGTTTACCAAATCATAAGTTAGTTTTAAAAATTGGTGTTCTAGTAATGTTACTGAGAAATATTGATCAGGAAAACGCCTTATGTAATGGCACAAGACTACAAGTGTTATCATTGGGCAAACGTGTTATTGAGGTACGTATAATAACTGGAACTAATATTGGAAACTGGACTTTTATTCTAGGAATGTCTTTAACTCCATCAGAAAAAAAGATTCCCTTAAAATTTACAAGAAGATAGTTTCCTTTGGCCATATGTTTTGCAATGACTATTAATAAAAGTCAAGGACAATCGTTATCAAAAGTTGGTTTGTTTCTCAAAGATCCAGTTTTTTCACATGGACAATTGTATGTTGCCTTATCTAGAGTTCAAAGCAGAGAAGGATTAAAATTATTAATTTTAGATAAAGATGGCAAACTCACAAATAAACTTCCAATGTTGTTTATAAGGAAGTTTTTCAAAATTTGTAGCTAACTTTTTTGTAGCATATTTTATTCATTTTTAGCAAATCATACTTAATCCATCATATTACTTCATTTATTTATAATTACGTATTGTTTATTTTATGTTAATTTCATTACACACACCGGTAATGCATCATCTGCGTATGTCCAACAAGAATCATGCACTAAAAATAAAGGTTTTCAAAAAATTTCATTTCTAATTAAATACTTATGATTTAGTTTGTAATTAAATACTTAGAAATCAAAAACTTTTTGAAAAATTCAATATTACAATTCATAAGTTGTCAAAATTAATGAAATTTTATTTTATTATTTGATTAATTTTAAAATTCATTTGTAGTTAAATACTTATCATTTATTGTATAATGAAATACTTACAAATCAAAAACTTATTAAAAAAAATACAATATAAGTTTTCTAACTTAATGATATATTATTTATTACATAATTAAAGTTAAAATTCTATATAATAATAATACCCGTACTATATATATATATATATATATATATATATATATATATATATATATATATATATATATATATATATATATATAAAAGAAAGAATCTCCTTTTACTTATTTTATTTTAAAAGGCATGTGTAGTTGTGTACACACTTCCCCAATATGGGTTTTGCCCCTTCATGTCCTTAATTTTATATATCCTACTTTCGGGTCCTCAGGAATAAAATTCAAGCCTTTTTCGGTTTTTTGGTTTTGTATAAGTATAAACAATAATTAATATAAAGTATTCCCGATTAGCATTATCTTCGATCTTAATGGTGTAGGCAAAATACATAAGGTATGATTCTTTTTACTTATCTAAAATGAATCTTATACAATTTAAAATAAACAAAATAATTAACCTTGTGCTATATTTTATCTTCAATCAGTATTTTGATTCATAATATCTGTCAAAAACTAAAATGTCACAGTGATATCAAACATATGTCAATATTAAAGATTTTTGGGCAAAGTTTGACAGCTCTCCTCATTAGTAGTATGTTGAGTTCTTAGAAGATGTATAGTTTCACCTAGAATATAGAGCATATCAGATAGACTACCCATATTTCTGCTAATTGCTTCTTCCATTGTGCAAGAGACTTCTATCACTACCTTGTCTGCTCTTCTTCGATGCCTTCTTACACTTATCTGTAACTCTCTCTCTCTCTCTCTCTCTCTCTCTCTCTCTCATGGATGTTTATCTGTAGAAAGCTCTGAGGTTTTTGACATTTAGGAGCTTTCATGGTTGATTTTTCTAGTTCATAATCAATTTGCTCTTTTGTTCTTTTAAATCCCCCTTTTCATATGTGAGTTGAGCATAATTTAGTAGATGGGTGTTAAATACTCTGATGTTCTATCATCTTTTAAAGCTGGTCAGTAGATATTTGACGCGTTTTATTGAATCCACATTCCAAAAAACAACTTTTGTTGTCTCTCAGTTGAGCACTAATACTGCTACTATTACATTAATTAATTTTTATTATTATTAAGGTTTGATCAATCTGGAACTCGTTAAACTGTGTTTATCAGGGTGTTGTTTTCAATGACAAGGTGTGTGGAAATAGAGTTTTGAAGAGTTATGGTTGTGAATCAAGTTTGGGGTTTGTTATTGTTGGTGGTGGTGGTGGTTTTCTTCAATGGATGTTTCATTGAGGAGAAGAGGCACTGCGCCCAAGCTCAGGTACATACTTGAAACCTTTTTTGGCTACATAGAAAATGAATTATTTTTGTTATCATTATGCAAAACCCATGTTTTTATTCTTTCAGATTCCTGAATCCAAGAAGCTGAGGAATGCTAGTTTTCTTTCAAGACCTGAAGTTGTAAAAATTGGGTCAATTTTGACCTTCGATTCGATCATAGGCAAAGCTGCGAAAATTGCATTGGAGGCTGCAGTAGAAGATGTGAATTCTGATCCCACGGTTCTTAATGGAACCAAGCTAGAACTAACCATTCATGACTCAAATTCTAGTGGCTTGGTGAGTATTATGGAAGGTATGTCTTCTAAACATTTGCTTACTATGATAAATATATTATGGTGTCTTCTTTTCATTGCTTTTTCTGTTTAGTATAAAAAGTATCCAAACAGGAATATTTGTCTAGTGATAAATATATCATGATATCTTTCTAGGCATAGTGTTGTAACAAAGAAAGTAAATCATTAACTAAAGAAGAAATTTAGAAGAAACTCTTGAACAATATGGGTAAAATAAATTTATTTTATTCACATTTTGTAAACGTATGCTAGGAAAGAAGAAAACAGAATAAAGAATTTGTAACTGAAAATTGGAGAGGTTATCGGATGCATTTAATATAAATTAGTCAAACATAAAGGCACTTTGATAATTTTATCCAATGTCTTCTAAACAATGGGAACTTTGTTCGTTGAAATGTAATTTTGAGTCAACAAATCTACAGAACTCCACCTTTACTCCAAAGGTAAGTCCCACAATCAAATATCCAGTTTCCAGTATGAAGCAAATGAAGACACCTTCAGAATCTCACTTCCAGAACGAGTTTTGTCAAGATATCGGTTGTGATCTCTTGAGTCGTGACATTTTTGCACTTTTATCCTCAACTTAAAATGGATAAAATGATAACGAACGTCTATATGCTTCATGTGAGGGTTATGTATCTGGAATGGTGGTTGAAACGATCCAGATGGTATGTTATGTTGCTGCTTTGCTTTGTTGAGTAACAATGGACACTGAGACTTCTGGTTCTTTTGATTGTGGTAAACACATTCATCAAAAGCAACTTTGGGGGCTGATCTATCCTTAGGAGCCATATCAACAATAATCAAAGCAAACGAATACCAACAACAAAAACCGACAAATACCGACAATAACAAAGCTTCAAACTATAACCAAAACGAATAAAGGGCAATACTAGAAAAAAAATCTATGAATGTGCTCAAAACTCCAAAGATGCTCCAAAAACTCCAAATGTGCTCCAAAAATTCCAAAGATGCTCCAAAACTCCAAAGGTGTTCGGAAAACTCCAAAGGTGCTCCAAAAATACCAAAGGTTCTCCAAACTCCAAATGTGCTCCAAAAATTCAAACATGCTCCAAAACTCCAAAGGTGCTCTAAAACTCCAAAAACACCAAATGTTCTCCAAAACTCGAAATGTGCTCCAAAATTCAAATATACTCCAAAAACTCCAAAGGTGCTCCAAACCTCCAAATGTGCTAAAATAAAACTCCACCGATGCTCCAAAACTTCAAATGTGCTCTAAATACTCCAAAGATGCTCCAGAACTCCATATATACTCCAAAAAAACTCCAAAGGTGCTCCAAAAGAACTCATGCTCAATGGCGAGTCTAGAACAGAAAATCATGTAGTTTCCTAACCTTGTTTAACCAGGCCTATTCAAGAGAAAATCAAGTTCAACCAGAAAAATAATCGGTTCGGCATGTATAAACATTGGTGGTTAAAGCCCAAATCGATCCTTCCTTAATTTATTTATTTTTACTAACACGAACTTATATTTGGAGAAGGTTAGTTTGAACCAGGCCTCAACAAGCTTATGTTGTAGAAGTGTGAAAGAATAAACATCTATTTATAATTAAAACATCATAACTTTCTTTTTGGAGTCGACGTGGGAGCCCTTATAAATGATATGCCTTCTACTGTCTATACTGATACAAAAACTTTTATTATCAACACCAATAACAATATTTTACATTTCTTCACATATGTATATATAGAAACTAAATGATATGACTCTTAAGCCTTAACCATCACACCCCTTTATCTTACTCTTAAGATAAATAAGATATATGGGTATATTATATTATAAATATCAAGTGATCACAATACAATGAGTGTGAAGGAAAACGGGCAACAAGCTGCGTCACTAAACCTTTTTTAATGATAAAAAAAATCTTTTGAAGACTATATCCATAAATTTAGGGTATATAACATTGTTATGCATGATCCGTTGTACTCTATTAAGAAGCTCGACCGCATTTGGTGATAGGAAACCAAATGTATAAAAAGCAAATGGTATAAACACATGTTGATTTTCCATGCACGATTTCTCATGTTTTGTGACTTTGCATGCACCAACTTTTAAAGTTGTTTTCCCTACCTTGAAACCCCCATGCCTCAAGCCCTGTAAAGTCAACACAAGTGTGTTTCCCTCTAACCCATCCAAAAACAATACATCAACCGGTCTAAGGGTTGGTATCCCTTATTTCAGATCAGTCAAGAAATTCACATGTGCCACTTTCTTGGCGGAAACCCTGACACACTTAAATATGTCAAACAAAACATCCCTAACCATATATGTCAGTATTTGAGCATTGGGAGTTCTTTACAATGAATCACATGCTCTCCAAAAGATTCCAAACATGCCTTATGGAAAACCAGACATACCTCGTCAGTAGGAAATGTTGGGATCATGGCTGATATTTAAGGATAGTACAATACTCCATAGGAGACGATATGTTGGCCAAGCCATTCTATAGGGATAGCTAGAAGAAAATCTTGAGCATATGGTGCTTGTAAACACTATAAAACTTTCTGCCGAACCGTCATGTCAAAATGCACTTCCATATCTTGGAAAATTTTACTAAAAAGGGCACCCAACAGTGTTTGTTGGGATATAAACGGGACTGTGTCCTTATTAGTGAAACTGCTAAAGTCAATGCATAGAAGCTTGTTACGAAGAGAAGCCAATGCATAAACATAATCAGAATCCATACTGCATATGCCACTATCCTATAAGATATGGTCTTGTGACACCCAAAATTGGGTCTTTGAGGGATCAAAAGCATATGAGGTAGCTTATGCTACTAAGTACAAACCCAAACCACAAAGCTAATGAGTAAGGAAGCACTTTGCCACTGTATTAACACTAATAAATATAAATAACACTAATAAACATAAATAATCCAAAATTTAGCTTATTATTTCAATAGTTTTCACATTCTTGTTTTTCGTTATAAGATTATGATCTTATGACCTCTAATTCCCTTTGTTGCAACAGCTTTGCATTTCATGGAGAGTGAAAGTGTGGCATTAATAGGTCCAGAATCATCGGCCTTAACTCATACGATCTCCTACGTAGTGAAAGAGCTCCGAATCCCCCTAGTTTCTTTCACAGCCACAGACCCTACATTATCCTCGCTTCAATTTCCTTTCTTTGTCCGATCAACTCACAGTGACATTTTCCAAATGGCTGCCATAGCGGACATAATTGAGTACTACGAATGGAGACAAGTGGTAGCGATTTACATAGACGATGATCATGGGAGGAATGGAATAAGTTCATTGGTAGATCAATTAGCTTCTAAGAGGTCTAAGATCTCCCACAAGGCACCTATCAATCCCGATGCAACACGTGGAGATATACAAGATATTTTAATTCAAGTTTCTTTCATGGAATCAAGAGTTATTGTTGTCCATACTAGCACCAAATGGGGATTAAACATACTTGATGTTGCTCAAGATCTTAGTATGATGGAAAGTGGGTACGTTTGGATCACAACGGATTGGCTTTCTACCATCATAGACATAAGCTCCTCACTCCCTACACGATCGATTGCTTCTATGCAAGGAGTTATTACACTGCAATCATACATAAAAGATTCAGAAATTAAAAGCAAGTTCATAATGGAGTGGGAAAACTTGACCAAAATGGGCTTGAGTACTTATACTCTGTATGCATACGACACTATTTGGCTGCTTGCTCGTGCTCTTGATGATTTCTTTCATCAAGGTGGAAACATTTCGTTCTCAAAAGGTCCCAAAATGAAGGACTCACAAGGCAGATTATTGAATCTTGATTCTTTTAGTGTTTTTAATGGAGGGAAAATCTTGCTTGAGAACATCTTACAAGTCAAAATGAACGGAACAACGGGACCGATCGAGTTCACTTCTGATAAAAACCTTGTTTTTCCGGCATTTGAAGTTCTTAATGTGATGGATACGGGCTTTAAAACAGTTGGGTATTGGTCAAACACCTCACGTTTGTCAACTTCTCCTCCAGAAACACTCAATTCAAACCTTTCAAACCAATCTAGTTCATCTGAGCTATTGTCTGGAGTAATTTGGCCGGGTGAAACCATTAAAAAACCTCGTGGATGGGTTCTCCCAAAGAATGGAAAAGAGTTGAAAATCGGGGTTCCAACTCGTGTCAGCTTTCAGGACCTAGTGGAGGAAGTTAAAGGGACTGATATGTATGTAGGATACAGTGTGGATGTGTTTATTTCTGCAGTAAAAGTGCTTCCATATTCTTTCCCATATAAGATCTATACGTATGGAGATGGTCATAACAACCCGGATTACACTGATCTAGTGAGCTTAGTAAACGCTGGTGTGAGTATTCCTTTCTAACTATTTCATTCTTTTCTGTTGAACCAAAGTTAAATTTTTAGAGTCTTTTTGGGAATTACTGCAGGTCTATGACGCTGCAGTGGGAGACATTGCTATCGTCACTAACCGGACACTTTTAGCGGATTTTACACAGCCATTTATCGAGTCTGGCCTAGTTGTAGTGGCACCAGTCAGGAGGCTAAGCTCTGGGACTTGGGATTTTTTCAGGCCATTTACTGCTGAGTTGTGGTGTGTAATTGGGATCTTTTTTCTGGTTGTGGGAGCAGTTGTTTGGATTCTAGAACATCGCCAAAACGATGAATTTCGTGGTACTCCTAGACAACAGGTTGTGACAACCCTATGGTAAGTGTGTGGGTGGGTGGGTGGGTGTGTGTGTGTGTCTGAAAGGATGTGAAAACAGCTAGGGGAGTTAAAAATTGGAGAAGAATGAAAGAATCTGCATCTATTCAACTGTTATGACAGAAAACAAATTAAGGGCAACAAACTACTTATAATGCAAAAATATAAAAACTACCAAATCTGGAAACATCAAGAGGCATACCCACCGATCTACCACACAACCCAAAAAAAAACTAGCTCACAACTAATAATACCCATTAATGCAATTAAGTTTTGAATCTTTATTCAAGAGAGTTAGCATCCATTATGATGGATATTTTTTTTATCTTGTCACTAAAGGTTTGTGTTTGGTTCCATGCAGGTTTAGCTTTTCTACCCTATTTTTCTCCCACAGTAAGTTACACTCTACATGAAACCAACTACCATGTTTTTATTTTGACTTACTGGACTTAGCTGGGACACTACTTATATGCTATAGTATACACACACACACAAATATTCCTTATGTTGAAGATTTTCTTAAACTCAACCATTGTTGATGCAGAACAAAACTTGATGAGCGGTCTAGGTCGTTTCGTATTAATAATATGGTTGTTTGTGGTTCTGATAATAAGCTCGAGTTATACCGCAAGTCTCACCTCAATCTTGACCATTCAAAAACTATCTTCGCCTATTGAAGGGATTGACAGTTTAAAATTAAGCAAAGATCGTATTGGGTACCAAGAAAGTTCGTTTGTCCGAAACTATTTGATTGACGAAATTGGCATTTCGGAAAGTAGACTTGTTCCTCTTAACTTGCCGGAAGACTATGAAAAAGCCCTAAACGATGGTCCTGACAATGGCGGTGTTGTTGCAATTGTTGATGAGCGTCCGTACATTGAACTTTTCGTTTCGACGCGCTGCCAATTCAGCATTGTTGGTCAAGATTTCACCAGAACTGGATGGGGATTTGTAAGTAAAGTTCTCATTTTCATGTTATGTTTGACTTATATAGTCAAACCGGATCATTTTTAAACTTCAAATTTCATACACACTTCCTTATTTTCCACAAAAGGTTTGCGAAAACATTGAACTTCATACCCAATGGCGTCTCATATGACCAATGTTAGATTCAAATCATAAATGTTTGTATTACAACGTCATACTTTCATTTCTTTCTATTACAACATTGTACTTTCATTTTTTTTATTAAGGCATGGTACTATGAAAACTCTATCCATTTATAGCGTTGTACTTTTATATGTAATTTTTTTAGGACATTCTCTGAAAAATCAATCTAATTATAACGATGAAAATCACTTTTTCATTGAATGAGATGGCTTATAATTGGGTAGATTTTTCAAATACAATGCTCTAATAGGAAAAATAAAATGAAAGCACAATGCTATAGTAAACAATTTATTGAAATACATTGTTATTTCTTGTATTTTTGTTTATTCTCTTTTTTATTTATATAATCAAATCAGATCAAAAAGTCGGCTATTTCTTTGCAAAAATTTCCTCGATTTCATATGTGACAATTACGCCAAGATATCTTTGCTATTTAGGGGAAGAATCTGCCCAAATCAGATTTTTTGAGAAACGTATCAAGAGACTTCTAAACTTTATATTTGATATGAAGTTTTTGATTTTCCACTGAAATTATTCTGCTGAAACATTATACTACATATCAAATAACCTCTGTATTATGTAATTTGACTTGAACTCGATACTTTTTTGTGTTTAACGTCCGTAATCAAACCGACAGTAGTTGACTATTATGGGTTCATGATGTCTTGTAGGCCTTTCAGCGAGACTCTCCTCTTGCAATGGATATGTCAAATGCGATTCTCAAACTATCAGAAACCGGAGAGTTACAAAACATCCACAAGAAGTGGCTAAGGGAAAGTGCTTGCAATTCACAAGGAACTGAGTTTTCAGTAGACAGGCTCAAGCTAAAGAGGTTCAAAGGCCTATTCATAATAATTGGATTAGCTTGTTTTCTTGCACTTTTTGTATACGTATTGCTCATCATATACAAATACACTAAACACAAACCAGATCCTATTGAGTCACCTGGAACAACACCAGGACGCCTACAAACGTTTGTTTCATTTATTGATGAAAAAGAAGATTCGGTGAATACCCGTTCCAAGAAAAGGCTCAGACAGGAAAGTTCACTTAGAAGCAACAGAGATATTGCATCTTTAAATGGATATACAAGTACACAGAAAGAATCACCTTCAATCACAACAGAATGTTCACAACATGGAGATTGATTACAGTAATATTTATGCAAAATGTGTTTTTCCACCTTTGCCATATCAGTATCCAAGTGGCGCACGAGTCCCCAAAGTTGATTAAGCAGTATTGGCTTGTTAGTTGTTGATAACCGGCTTCCTTTTCATTGTATAAATAGCATAGTTTTACTAAATAATAAACTTTTTAGTATTTCTATTGATGATTGGTTCGAGTTTCATAATATTTATGACTCAAGATGATTCATCGTGTTAAACTAAAACTGTATGTACCAGTCGAACCATAGTTTGCCATTGCCAACTATCATGAATATTTTTGATTCATATCATGAATATTTTTGATTCATGGCAAACTCTTTAAACCATCGTGAACCCAGGCATAAAGCATAGTTTACCCTCAGATGCCACTGTTAGTTCTTGTTAAATAGCAAGGTTCTAAATAACGTTAGGCGTGACTTTGGTGGCAATGTCAAACTTCAAATTTTTACGAGCCGTGACGAGGCACGACGTAACTTAAGGTGACAATTTTGTATATAACTAATATTTTTATATGTATTTTGTGCTATCATTCATTTTTATATACATATATGACTTAAGGCGGCATTTTGTTAAAATTTGATGTTAAGTACAAGCCTTGGAGCATGGTGCATCATTGCAAAGCCATCGCGAGCTTTTCAGAACTTTGTTAAATAGTTAAATAGTCATATTTTATATCTTCTAAGGACCCTTATGTAATTTGTATCTATATATTGAAGTCAATATATGAAACCCTAATTTACGGGTTTTCAACAATATTCATCATGGTATCAGAGCTAGCGGAAATACTAGAATTATCCCTGGAAGCAAATCTCGCCTACTATTTTTACCGTATTAAATTTATTTCTTGATTTTCCATTAGTGGTTACGGAAGATGTAAGAGTGACATCATCGGTAGGCATGGCAATTTAATCCGACCCGTTGGGGAACCCGATCACCCCGCCTCGATCGATGATGGGTATTCCCTGCTAAAGCGGGTATCGGGTATGGGCCTGGGATCCCCGTATGGCAAAAAGTAGGGATGGGGCCGAGGTCGACTTTCTTATTCCCCAACCCGGCTCGTCCCCGTTTATATTATACCCACATATTACGTAGATATTTGATGTAGGCCCAAGTCTAGATTTGAATTTCTTTTATGCGTATATAGACTTTCAGTAGGCCCAATTTTGTTTGAACCAATTTCAATTTAGCAAACAGCATATGCCAATACTCAATCGGCAATTCCAAAAACACAAGTAGACATACAATCCTTGGTGTGGTGCACATGCGACGAACATGTTTGGCGATTCGACTCCCCACTGCTTTATAGTGGATTTCAAATAACTTTTTTGTTTTGTTTCCGTTGCAAAGTGATTTTCAAAGATGAATTATTGGGTTTTTATTCTAATTAATGTTATTATTTATAAATTATGTTTGTTATAGATGGCCACTTCAGAAAATGATAAACAAGCAGCCATGAGTGACGAACATGAAGATATTAATGAACCAGAAGGTCAAGAACCTACAGAAAATGATACTCAGCATCCCAAAAAAACTGTTGAAATTAGCTGCTTGGAACCATTTTGATCCAGTTTATGTTGATGAGTGTATACATTGCAAGAAACAACTAGTTTATGTTGATGGTGTTCGAAGATGGGCGAAGTGTATACATTGGAAGAAAAAACTGACCGGTAGAGCTACTGTTGGAACAACACATTTGAACGATCATCACAAGATATGCCTTAGGAAAGATACAAGGGACATTAGGCAACGTATATTAGTTCAAGGCCATAAACTATTGATGGTAAAACCTTATATGAGTAATTATGCCTTTGATGTTGAAGTATCCAGAGATGAATTAGAAAAGATTATTATAATTCATGACTATCCACTCTCCATTGTTGAACATTATGGTTTTCGAAAGCATACTGAAAGTCTTCAACTTTAAATAAGCCGGTGTTGCAAAACTCAGCCTACGCAGGCGATTAATAGGAATCAAGTAGGGGCCGAGGCGCCTAATTAGGAATTGGCCAACAAACACGGAATTGGTCAAACTCAGCCAAAATCAGCTCCAAATCAGTCAAAATCAGAAGAAATTCGGAATAGGTCAAAAAAATTTAAAAATCAGCAAAACGTAAAAATTTCATCTTTCTTTTAGAAAAAAATGTATAATTCTTATTGATATTCATATATTTTGTTATAATTTTAATAAATTTGTTATATTTTTTTATATATACAATTTTTCTATAACTAATTTCATATAATTTATCCAATCCGAGTACTCCCAGAATACTTCCCCAATGAGTCGGCCACTTTGGGAACGTCTAACGAGCTTTGCAAGATTTATTTAAGGTTCCTTGTCGTAATACAATCAAGGGTGATATAATAAGGATATATGAGGATAAAAAATGTCATATCTTGAAATGTTTTGAAGAGAACGAGAGTAGGATTGATCTTACGTCTAATATGTGGACAACAAGTAACCAAAAGAAAGGTTACATGGCAATCACAACACATATGGCAATTGGAAGTTACAAAATCAAATTATGAGTTATTTACTCTAATTAGTTTTATTAATTAAAATTTATAAAATTTTGGATGAAGTTTTGAAGTGTTATGAAAACAAGTAACATAATGATTGATTTCTTTGAAGAGTATAAAAAGAAACATGAATGCAAACGTGGAGCTTCTTGGAAATGACAATGTGCCTCTAACGTCTCAAATAAAGGAGGTTCTAGATATATGAGGATAAAAAAATGTTATATCTTGAAATGTTTTGAAGAGAACGATAGTAGGATTGCTCTTACGTCTAATATGTGGACCACAAGTAACCAAAAGAAAGGTTACATGGCAATCACAAAACATAATATATATATATATATATATATATATATATATATATATATATATATATATATATATATATATATATATATATATATATATATATATATATATATATATATATATATATATATATATATATATATGGCAACTGGAAGTTACAAAATCAAATTATGAGGTATTTACTCTAATTAATTTTATTAATTATAATTTATAAAATTTTGGATGAAGTTTTGAAGTGTTATGAAAACAAGTAACACAATGATTGATTTCTTTGAAGAGTATAAAAAGAAACATGATAGCAAACATGGAGCTTCTTGGAAATGACAATGTGCCTCTAACGTCTCAGATAGAGGGGGTTCTAGTTTTATCAGATCAACATGGGAGTTGGATTTTTTGGCTATGCTTTTTGAGGGTGATGGATTTGATAAAATTGATTTAGATGATTATTTACCTGCGAAGTTGTTACCAAATGAGGAAGTTTTTGACACATTTATTTTGGTGGAAGTGCAATGGCTCTTAGTTTCCTATATTAAAGAAGATGGTAATATATGTTTTAGCCATTTCAATTTGTACGGATGCTTAAGAACACTTTCTAGCATGAGTGGGAATAAGGTGACAAAACAACATAGCCACTCAAATTGAAAATAGTTGTAGCATTAATGTGTAGCCAAAGGTGGTAATGGAAGGAACTTCAGGGTAACTTTTTGATAACTATATCAAATTTTATATCATACGTGTGTATAAATATTATTTTTTCTAACTATATAACTTTTATATGTTTCAGGTCAAAAGCAAGGAGAACTAAAGGCTTTTGATAGACGGTTTCATATGATGATGATGTTAAGTAAGTTTTAAGAGAAACACATAGCACCAAAGACTTGAAATTTCTTTTGTATGTGTATAATCACGTTCATGGTATTGATGGTTGTTAAGATTTATTATTAATGTAAACGCAATATAGTGAATTTTCTTTTGTATGTATATAATCACGTTCATGGTATTGATGGTTGTTAACATTTATTATTAATTTAAACACAATATAGTTATGATAGCTTAATAAACTTGAAATTATTTTTTGCGTACGTTGATTTATTATGTTGATGGTTCGGGGAATGGGTCAGGGATAAGCTCAAAATTCAAAAGGGGAGGGGATTTTATTCCGTGCATCTGTCGGGGATGGGGACGAGGTTACAAATTCAGGGGTGGGGACAAGGATGGTAAGCCCCGCCCCATGGACCAATAAATTCTTCATGAGACTCGTATACGAGGAGCATGTTCTTAGCTTCAAGGAACGATGGAAACAGTTTGGTATTAGTGATCACATCGACAATTGTATGATAACAAGGAGGGATTTGTTGGAGAATTTGCATTACAAGTTCAATTTCATCGACGTTGGAATCACAATCCACAAGACCCTCAGCTAAATTTTTCAAGAATTGTGTTAAGTGCATTTTATACACATTTTTAGCATGTTTAATTCACTATTTTGCACTTCAATTCATAATAATCCATGAATTTTACTTGTTTTTGGGACAAATGTTGGTGCACTTCATTTCCATAATTTTTATGTCATTTCAGACGCATAACTGCCTTTTGGCAGTTCTCTTTTATGACCTATTTAAAGATTTTTAGCGACTCCAGACTTGCTCTCTCACTCTAGACAACCAAGGGGGTGTTTTTGAAGGGGTTTTAAGTTATTAACTTTAGAAGATCATTCTGGAAACATTTTAATTTCATTTGTAATTTAGATTAGTCTTGCCATTTCTACTTTCTAGACTTTGGATTCAAGCTTTAGCGATGTCCGACTAAAGCCTTTCATTTCCGATTTTGTAATACGATCGTGTTTATGCTTTTAATCATGTGATTGGATGTTATATTCATGATTCTATATAGAAGTTCTAGTTTCATTTTAATTTAATGTTTGATTTAATCATGGTTCATGTTGGCCACTAGAATTAGGGTTATACCATTCTCATTATTCAATTTATAGAATCTGTAATTGTTTTATGAATTGAAAGTAAAGTATAAGCATCAAACTGGATCTATAGTGTGATTAACTTTGGTGTAAACTACAATTGCATATTTTTATGTTTTCGAGCTTATGAGAAATATTGAACATTTTTAGGAACATTCATATTAATTCTAATGCAATTTTCCAATCTAATTCTAAGAGCTTGTTTAGGTTAGATTAGTAAGGCTAGGTTTGGTTCAAAGAGCTTCTTTTGATCAAATACTTTGGTGACTGGAAAACACTGGATCTTGTTAGTATTTTCAAGTACAAACTTAGATAGGTTGTGACATAACTTTATCACGTGATTGAATTGCATGAAACATGAGTTTACT